GGCTGGGGATTCGAACCTGCCAGCTTAGGTGTATGTGGCTGGCGCCTTAGCTGCTTGAGCCACGGGCGCTGAGCCTCAAGGTTCATCTTAAGCCTGGCATGGACCAGTGCTTCATTCTGTGCCGTGGCTGAATGACTGTCCATACTGTGAATAGACCACAGTTTGCTATTCAGTCAGCAGTCGATAGGCTCTTGGGTTGTTCCCACTTTTTGGTTATCATGAACAGTGCTGCTGTGAACATTTGTCTACATATTTTGGGTAGGAATGGCTTCATTTCTCTTAAATATATGTGTGGGGATAGAATTACTAGTTCATGTAATAATTCCAACATTTCTTAAATATATGTATGGAGGTAGAATTACTAGTTCATGTAATAATTCCAACATGTCCCTTGCAGAACTTTCATTCTAAGACACATAGTTTGGGCTCGGTGCCTATAGCTCAGCGGCTAAGGTGCCAGCCTCATACACCAGAGCTGGTGGGTTTGAATCCAGCCCAGGCCTGCCAAATAGCAATGACAACTACAACCACAAAATAGCCGGGTGTTATGGCAGGTGCCTGTAGGCCCAGCTGCTTGAGAGGCTGAGGCAAGAGAATCGCTTGAGCCCAAGTGCTTGAGTTTGGGGTTGCTATGAACTGTGATGTCACAGCACTCTACTGAAGGTGACAAAGTGAGACTCTGTCTTAAAAACAAAAATAATGGTAATGTAAAATACACATTATTTAATACTTCTAATAATCCTGTGAAGAAGTATTGTTATTCTAATCAGACAGGTGAAGAAGCTGAGATGCTGAGAGGAAAGGTAAAAACTGTCCTGTACTCACAAACCTGGTTCTAATTGTATCTAATGACCGTGCTCATCATACAACAGTTACTAAAGGCTTTGCTTCTGGGTGGGATGGGCAAGAAATAGGAATTTGTGTTTTAACTTTTTGTCCCCTAATGGTTAATAGGTGAATTCATAATGTGACTGGTTACTGATATTCTGTCCCTTGTGTTGTGTTGGGATGAAAAACTCTTCGTTTGTCTGGAAACAGTCAGATGCTACTATTCTGCTTCATTAGGATCTTTTAGGCTTCAAATAATTGTTTTTGCCCATAGGAGCTTTTCAGTACTCATGAGCAGTTCATCATGAGTGAAGAGTACTAGCTAAGGTAGAGACGGGAAATTAGGTCTTCTGGGAGGATGAAATGACAATTCAAAGAATTATCTCTTATTCGCCTTTAATTCCAGTGTGCTACTTTTGCTTCTAATCAGATTCTTTCTGTAATTAAAATTTTTTTATCGAGGTAAAAATTTACATGGAAGGCTGTGCGCCCATAGCACAGTGGTTACAGTGCCAGCCACATGCACCAGGGCTGGCGAGTCTTTCTTTTTTTTGAGACAGAGCCTCAAGCTGTCACCCTGGTTAGAGTGCCATGGCATCACAGCTTATAGCAACCTTCAACTCCTGGGCTCAAGTGATTCTCCTGCCTCTGCCTCCCAGGTAGCTGGGACTACAAGCTCCCACCACAATGCCTGGCTATTTTTTGGTTGCAGTTTGGTTGCAGCCGTCATTGTTGTTTGGCTGGCCCGGGCTGGATTCGAACCCACCAGCTCAGGTGTATGTGGCTGGTGCCTTAGCCTCTTAAGCCACAGGTGCCGAGCCAGGCTGGCGAGTTCAAATCCAGCCTAGCCAAACTAAACAATGACAACTGCAAAAAAAAAAAAAAAAAAAAACTGGGCATTATGGCAGGCACCTGTAGTACTAGCTACTTGGGAGGCCGAGGCAAGAGAATTGCTTAAAAAAATAAATAAGAAAATAAAATAAATAAAATTCACATGTAAAATCACCATTTTTAAGTGTACATTTCAGGATTTTTAGTATATTCACAATGTTATACAGCCGTCACCACTAACTTTGGAACATTTCATAACCCTATAACCATGAAGCATCCTCTCTACATTTACCCCTTCCCCCTGCCCCTGGCAACCACTAATCTGTTTTCTGTGTATACACATTTGCCTGTTTGGGGTGTTTTATATCAGTAGAATCACACAATATTTATCTTTTATGTGTTGGGCGTAATACTTCAAATGCTTGGTGTGTGTTTAGTGTATACTTCAAATGCTTGGTGTGTGTTTAGCGTATATTAGTCCTTCATTCCTTTTTATTTAGAAAGAATAATCCATTGTATGGATATATAACATTCTGTTTATTCATTTATCACTTGATAGGCATTTAGGTTGCTTCCACTTTTTGGCTATTAGGAATAATGCTGTTGTGAACATTGGTGGACAACTATCCATCAAGTCCCTGTCTCCATCCTGTGGAGTTTCATTTCCACACACAGTATGGGAAGTTTCTAGTGTCACTGCATCCTTGCTGTGTTTATCATAACCATCCTAGTGGGTGTGAAGTGGCCTCTCATTGTGTTTTTGATTTGCATTTCCCTGATGATTAGTAATCTTATATATTTTCTTTATAGAAATGTCTATTTAAGGCTGGGTGCAGTGGCTCACACCTGTAATCCTAGCATTCTGGGAGGCTAAGGCAGGTGAATAGCTTGAGCTCATGAGTTCGAGACCAGCCTGAACAAAAGTGAGACCCTGTCTCTACTAAAATTAGAAGAACTGAGGCAAGAGGATCACTTGAGCTCAAGAGTTGGAGGTTGCTGTGAGCTATGAGGCCGCGGGGACTATAGGCACCTGTGACAACACCCAGCTATTTTTAGAGATGGTTTCTCGCTCTTGCTCAAGCTGGTGTCAAACTTCTAAGCTCAGGCAATCTGCCTGCCTCGGCTTCCCAGAGTGCTAGGGATTATAGGTGTGAGCCACCTTGCCTGGCCTATCCATTTTTTTTTTGAGACAGAGTCTCACTATATCTCCCTCAGTAAAGTGCTGTGACATCACAGCAACCTCAAACTCAGGCTCAAGTAATTCTCTTGCCTCAGCCTCCCAAGTAGGTGGGACTACAGGCACCTGCCACAACATCCCATTATTTTTTATTGCAATTGTTGTTTAGCTGGCCCAGGCCAGGTTTGAACCCACCAGCTTCGGTGTATGTGGCTGGCGCTGTAACCACTGTGCTATGGACGCTGACCCTGGCCTATCCATTTTTAAACTAAAAATTGTATGGCCAAAAAGAATTTTTCTCTAGTACTCTGGTGAGACTGTTAAGCACTTATGTAAACTATGAAGGCACCCTGCTTAATTCTATACAGTTATTCTCTTACCTGTAAAAGTTTGTTAGGTCTGGCAAGGTGGCTCATACCTGAAGTCCTAGCACTTGGGGAGGCTGAGGTAGGTAGATTGCTTGAGCTTAGGTATTTGAGACCAGCCTGAGGAAGAGCAAGAACCTGTCTCTATTAAATGTAGAAAAATTAGGCCAAAGCATGGTGGCTCCTACCTGTAATCCTAGCACTCTGGGATGCTGAGGCCAGTGGATTGTTTGAGCTCAGGAGTTCGTGACCAGCCTGAGCAAGAACAAGACCCCATCTCTACTAAAAATAGAAAAACTAGCTGGGCGTCATGGCAGGCACCTATAGTCCCACCTACTCAGGAGGCTGAGACAGAGGATTGGTTGAGCCCAAGAGTTTGAGGTTGCTGTGAGCTATGATGACACCAGGACACTCTACCCAGAGTGAG